ATGCCTGCCTTATTTTACTTTAATGCTTTACATGTGGGGTTGGTGTTTGAGAACGCTGCAATGGGACATTTCCAATTTGCAGGTTGAGTCGATGTGTGCAAGTTTATCTTTTAAGGCTCTTTCTACTGCTCCCCATGAGCAGAGCTTCACGTGTGGCTGAACCTGCCCACGCACCCTCTGCTGCACTTAATCACTGGTGTGCAGCCGCCGTCACCCCAATGGCAGTTACACGCTTCAGGGGTGCCTTGCCCTTTCTGGTGTTACAGCAGTCATCCTTCATGCACTCAGTGTGCTGAGACTGTGGGACTGTGTGGAGTGTTAAGTTCAGTCCTAGCCTGTTGCAGCTTCCAGCCTGCAGAAGACGAATGTCTTGCAGCGGTTGGCAGACGGCTCCGAGTGCTGCAGCAGAGGAAGGATGCTCTGCTAGACCACGAAGGAGCAAAACGGGAAAGGTAGATAACAAGACCGCTAGACTGCTTTGGGGCTTTTGCCAAAAAGTGACAATTAAACTTCCGTCTTCATGTGGACACTGCCACCGATTCCCAAGAGAGACTGACGGGAGAGGGAGAGTTTCCTTAAAATGAACAGGGACACACAGGAAAGGATCTTGTCTTTGTACAGAAGCCCTGGAGCACCTCCTGAATAACAGATGGCTGCAGAAACCCAGGCAGACAAGCAGCCCAACACTGCCCTAGAGGGGAACGGCATCTTCCAGTAAGTTTAAGAAACTTACCTTATTCCAGGTAACCCGATCACTGTTCCTGTTTTGAGTGGGTAGAAATTAAACCCGCTTTGGTATTGTAGCGCTCTTCTGTGTGCACGGAGGCTCCTATACAGTCTATTTTAAGTTCACTGATGATATTTTCCTCAAGATCTGGTACCCAAACCCTGCCTATTTTTCATTATTCTTAACATACCTGCTCTCCTGCCCCCGGTTAGCCACATGCTGGCAGACAGCTATTCCATCAGAGTAAGCTGAGGAGTTTGTTGCTTTGAAATACAAAAAATTTCTGCCAGTTAATATTTGCTCTAGACTCCTTTCCCTCACCTCCCACTTGCCCTGTTGGTACCTCAGGGTTTTAAGAAGGAAAATGCATTGTGATGCAGATGTGTTTATTGAAACAGCAGATACAGAAAGAGGAGAATACAAAATGTAAAGCACTTTGCTTCATGGCTTGAACAGTGCCCTGAGCTTCCAGCTCTGTTAGCTATTCGGGATGTATGCTTCCCTGAGTGAGGCACGCTGGTTATTAACCAGGCTCCTGCTGAGGTCCTGTTTTTCCAGTCCATCAGCAAGCTGTGCCTAGAGGAGGGATCTTAAAAAGAAGAGGTAAGGCAGAAAATCCGTTACTGTCTTCAAGCTGTCTCCCAAGTGGTCAGAGTCTGTGGGAATGATATCTGAAAGCTGAGAGAGAAGTCAGGATTTTTTTTGTTTCCATGGAGACTGAAATTATTGCAGTGATTCCCTGCTTGGTTTTCAGCCCCTGAACCTGGTGCCTTTCCTGTTCCCATGCATTGCAGGTGTGCCCTCTCCCCGGGATCAGCCCTGGATTCTCACGTGCAGGATGAGCAGAGATGCAGTGTCTGGGGCCACCAGGCATGCCTCGCAGGAGAAGCGAGATAGTCTGTGAGGAGGCAGGATCTTTTGAAGGCAGAAGAAGAGAGAAGCAAGTTGTGCTTAGACTGACCAGACAAATGCAAAAATTGCTCCTGGCTGAAAGCGCAGAAACAAGCAGCTGCGCTGGTGAATAACACTCAGATGCCTCCGTGTTCAGCTTGGCCATGAGCATCTCACACTGGGCTGTGGCATGAGGGCACTGTCCATGTGTCCCACTCGACTTTAAGACAAGAAGCAACGAGCTGTTTCTTCCTGTTTGACTGCTCTAAATGAACGCAGAATCTTGATAATGTTTGTGATGACTTGAATAAATATCTTGTACTTATTCATTCATGACATGGGTCTCACTGGCTTTGTTAGGTACTCTGTTTCTACTGAGTTTTGCTGTGATTTATCCTGCTGTATTTAATAAAGGGCTTTTTCTTATTGCTTTTGCAGTACTTGATCAGTAGTAATAATTATTGACGAAGATCAGCATAGGCTTATAAATCTGAACCTATGCTAAGCACATAATGAAATGTCCTCTCATAACATTTAAGAACAACTGTAATAAATACTAATTTCAATCTCTTAGCTCAAGGCCTCAGAGTCACGGATGTTCCTACCTCAGTGATCCTGACAGACAGGCTGCAGGCAGCAGGGCTGACGTCTGTCTGTCTGTCATGCTGCAAATGACTGCTCGCTCCTCGGGGGCACTTTGCTCCTGACTGTCTCGGATGCACAAAACAGCATGAGACAGGTAGCGCTCAGCTGTCTTCCACCTTTCTTGGGTACTATCATCTTTGTTCTGATAGCACATTTCACTGTCTGTGACATACTGTTAAACAGCTTCTGCTTTTATCCGAGTGTCCAGCAAAGCACTTCTGAGAAAGCAAAGAGGCTGACGTGCATCCCGGTGCCAGCTCTGTCCAGTGCAGCCCCAGACCAAAAACCCCCTTTCACACTGAAGAAAAACCTCTCCTGCTTAAAAAGATAAAGAAAATCTTCATATCACAGATGCCATGATCTTGTTAATGAACCTTCTGGATCAGTTGTTGCTTCCTGGGCTGGACATGCCCCTGACCCGCTGGCAGGGATGGTGACCCTCTGCGAGGCGAAGCCGAGCTCCCCGCTGCACCAAGGAGAGCTCGTATGTTGGTGCCCTGCCATGGGCTTGGGACGTGGATGCGTGCGACAGTGGCCCTTGTCCTACAGCCTGCAACTTGGCTGTCTCCTATACTTATTATTTTATGGAAAATCGAAATTTTCATTTACTTCCCTGCAGTGGAGACTTTTGGTGTTTTTTATCTGTTACTTTTTAATCTGTCATTTTGTTTTAGCTAGCAAAGGTTAATTTTATATTCTTCCCTCGCTCTGCTTTTCTTTCTTTTGTCAGCAAGTTCTTTGTTGTTGTTATTTCCTGAAATGAGCCACCAGCACTGTGCCGTAATAGCTGCGCTAGCAACTGTACCTCGGTGTTGCTGGCTGTGTGATACTGTAGGTCCTGTATGAATGCCAATTTACTGCTTTGGATTTAAAAATTTATAGGAGATACCTAGCTCCTGTGAGGGGTTCCTACTGCTAAGATGTTTCTCTGTGTGTGAATGCATTTATTTTCAGTAACTATTCCTAGGCAGATTATACTAAGCTTATGCTGACAATTACTTGACAGCATCCCTTGATGCTTCAGCATCTAGTAAAGAGCCAAAATCCTGAGGATATTTTGCAGTTTGTTTTCTTTTAATCTGTCCTCTTTGTTGCTGAGAGCAGGAAAATAGATTGTGTAGCTCTTAGCCTTGATAACGTCATGGTAACGTCCATCTTACTTGATCTGAAACCATTAAGCGTTGAAGGAAGACAGAGGGAAAATAACAGAGGGAGGGTGAGCGTTGAACCAAATAATTGTGTAAGTGCCAAACTAAAACCAGTCTCATCTCCTGTGCGATGTCCTTTTGCCAGGAATTAGTGAGATGTATCTTCCAAGTAATGGATTTTACCAAGGGTGATGGTGGGGAAAAAGATGAGTAAAGCATACGTATATGAAATACCAAAAACATGGGGTAGGTACCACTTAAAGGCAGCATTGCATTTTCAAATTAATGGACCTTGTCAGCTGAAATACAGTATATATTGAAAACCCTTGAGAGCTAAAGATTTTTTTTCATATGCACTCTTCCCCTCAACTTGATTTTAAGACTGGTTTTAATTGTTTTCATGGGAATGGTGGTCTGGTTTGATGCCTCTTTTTGGTAACGTGGTAGCCCAGCAGAAGTCAGTGATTTATTTGTAATGGGAAGGGGAGCTGCCCCTACGCCTGGGCTGCAGCCTGCCGGTGCTTGCTTTGAGTTGTCCCAAGCCCCTGGCACTTGGGGGAAGCTTGGAAAGGTTCTCGGGCTGTTCCTTGCCCAGTGCAGCAAAGTTGCTACCAAAACCAAACAGCAGCTTTCACTTTTCAGCGCTCATTTGGCGCAGGTGTAAACAGCTGCCCAAGGAGACAGACAAAAGCAAATTGACTCACAGCTCCTTCTCAAAGGAGTTGACAATTTATTGCTATATTGTACAAATATTTAATACAGGATGGGGATGGCCTGAATGTGAGGAGTTTGTCTAAATGCGGTGGGACTGCCCAGGCGCAGTTACATCTGTTGAGGAGCATGGGTGAAAATTGTGTTTAGCAAACAGAAAGGTAAACCAAAAGTGCAGATTTTTTTAAGCAAATCCTGAAAAGGCTGCACTGCACTCAGAAGTGCATCTGCAGTTCACCCAGCACTTTACACTAAAAAGCTTGGGTACGGATAGCAGCAGAGGAGCCTGGATGTCTGCATGGGGTAACAGCTGAGTTGATTCCTTATCTCGGGTTTTGTCAGTTCTGCTGAGTTGTGTCCACAACAGAAGATGTTGCTACAAAGTCTACCTCATTTAATGCTAACTTTGTTTTGCATTAGCTGTGGTCACACATTTGATTCTTGTGTAGGCTTCCTCTCAGGGATACGGAGGAGAATTCACCTGCAAAATACCAAATCCCCCCCGGCTGAGTGACAGTTTCCTCCTGCAGTAAAAGAAACCCGTGCTCCGCTGTGCGTGGCACAAAGCTTACACAGATGTACGAAAGCGCGCTATTGAAAAAAGGGGCAGTACTGTGCTAGGCTGGAAAATTGAAAATCAACCAAAACCAGGACTTGGAGACTGCTTTGAAGTCACTTCTTCCTCGTGCAAATAAATCACTGACATCTAGCAGTGAATGGAGCACTGAGCCCTTCCTTTCTTTAATCGTCTCTGAGAAGCAAAGCGATTGGGAATTTGCAGGAATCACCCGGCTGAAGGGATAAGGGCGGGGGGGAACGTGACAAAGCAGCTTGTAGGAGCACTGTGCTGCATGATTGATGGTGATTTCTTATTGCAGTTTCCTGCTTTTTCAACTTCACCACTCCATCTGGGAATGTGCTGTCACCAAATTACCCTGAAGAATATGGAAGCAGCTTGCACTGTGTTTGGTTAATTATAGCTAAACCTGAGAGCCGAATTCACTTGGCTTTCAATGATTTTGATGTGGAGCCTCAGTTTGATTTCCTAGCCGTGAAGGATGGTGGGACTGCTGAATCTCCGGTGCTGGGGACCTTCTCAGGAAACCAGATCCCCTCCTCTCTGACCAGCAGTGGTCATGTAGCTAGGCTGGAGTTCCAGACCGACCACTCCATGGAGAAAAGAGGCTTCAACATAACCTTCACCAGTAAGTGCCCGATCCTTCCTTCTGGTTTTCGTTTCAAGCTCTAAATTCTTTTTGGGCAAGAGTTTGATCTCACTAAAACCATTGCAAATCCAGAGTAAGTCTGAAAATTGGGGATTACTTCAGATTTGCAGCTGGGTAATTGAGGATTGGTTTCAAGCTTTAGAGCTGATTGCACAAGTTCTTTCTGGCTGTGAAGTTTTAAGTGTTGTCCAGTGGTGAAAGAAACAGATTGTCCCTGGGTTATCTGTCCATGGAGCAGTCAGGGTTTCTGTTCTCCCATCAGCCCGCAGCTTGCTGCGTGAGGTGGGCTTTCTGCTCTCCCTCTTTGTGCCTCCGTTCTGCTCGCTGAGGTGAGACAATGCTTTGTGGACAGCTTGATGCAGATCAGGAGGACTTATTAGATCTCGGATGGTTTTGTTCATCAGTCAATACTATCATCGTTTGCTGACACCTAAAAGCATTTTAGACTAAAACCTAAGACTTTGAAGATAAAGGAAAACCTGTAGCAATGTCTTATAATACAAAGCATTGAGACTTCCAGAGATATATTTGGCTTCACGTAAGTCTAGTCTTCAAATCTCAAATGAATGCTATGGTAATTTTATCCTCGTTTTGTCCTGTAATTTTCTAAAGAGCGTTATTAAACCTATTCAGCAGAACTGATAAATGACCTTGTTACAATAGTCTTTAGTGGCAGAGCTAAATTAATAGCCTTTCTAGCTACGATTGCAAATCCTCTATTTAAAAAAAAAAAACCAACCCAGAGGTCTTAAATTTGCCACACTGCAGCAGGCTGAAGGCTCATCAGATGAAGTAGCTTGTGTACGGTAGTATCACATACCCAGGACTGAGTCCTAGATCATGCAAGGAAGGAGACACCTCATCCAGGAATGCTAGTGATGCCCTCCAGTATGCATCTCTGATACATTACATACCCGTGTTGGGAGTTGTGGCTGTCCCCTGTATGAAGACATTTTTAAGCCAAATTTTTTATTGTTGTAAATGACTCTGAAGTACGCATGAGTTAATCTGTTCTGACTGCTTGAACTACCGAAAGGGAACTCCTGAGTCTTTCTCAGACACCTTAACCATCCTTTCCTTCAGTTTAGGTATGAGAGAGGAGACGACATATTGCTACAAGGGACAGATGCAAGAGCACAAGGAACAGATTCAGCCTGTGTTTTCCCCTTTAGCAGTGTATATAACAAGACATTACAAGAGTAACAACGCTCTGTAGGAAACACAGAACTCATCTGAATTTGGTCAAGTGCATTAAAGATACTAAAAGCATGTCTGTGTAATTAATCTGGAGGCTTTAATCTTTCATATGCTGCTCATCTCTGAAGACCACCTCCCAGCATATGAAGATATAATACATAATTATGCACTTAATGGGGAATTAAGGCTATAGGCTTACTTTCTGGTTGGTTGGCTAGCCTAGTTTTTAATGGCTAGAAAAGGGCAGGCCTTTAAACAGAGCTATGTGTCTGTGCAATTCCACATGCAACTTTGCAACACCTAGAAAGGTAATTGCTGTGTGTCCTTCATTTTATCTTACTAACGATGACAAGCAAGGTCGGGGACTATATGGCAGTCAATCACAGAACATGCTGAGAGGACCCCTACTTTTAACCATGACACCTTAAAGCTTTCATTTTTTTCTCATTAATGGTTAACTTATGTCCCCTCTATGAGATGTGTGTGTTGTGGCATTTTTAGAGTTTTTAAAAATCCTTCTCTATTTTCAGTATTTGTGCATTTTTGTATTTGAAAGATGGCTAAGAGGATAATTTGGTTCTGCAGGCTCTTTTCTGGCCACTGTATCTCAGCACCTCTTGGATGCAAATGGTTTTAATCTCATCCTTCCTCTCTCAGGTTGCAAATGAACACTTGTAGTAGAGACAGGGAACAGAAAAGTTTTAAGCCACTTCAACTAGATGAAAAGTTGAACTGTGGGAACACACACGTGGGTGTCTTAGCAGTGTAGGGAAGAGGTGGTGACATGATTTCTGCCACAGGCTGACTCGTCTGTGCAGAACACAGTAGCTTTGCTGGGATGATAGTGGGCCAAATTCAAGTCCGTGCTGTTTGGTCTTCCCTGTGAGGAAGGTCCACTGTCCGGGGACAAGATCGAGTGCTCTTGTCTCCATAGGAAAGACGTGAAACTATTGTTTAATTCCAAAGTTTGTGGTCCAAAATACTTATTTTTGAATTGGACAGAGGTGGGTGAAACAAGTTACTCACTATTCTCTTCTCTTTCCCTCTTAGCATTTAGGCATAACGAATGCCCTGACCCTGGTGTGCCTGTGAACGGAAAGCGCTTTGGTGACAGCCTCCAGCTTGGCAGCTCTGTGTCCTTCCTTTGCGATGAGGGCTTCATTAGGACCCACGGCTCAGAAACCATCACCTGCATCTTGAAGGAAGGAAATGTGGTCTGGAACAATGCGGTACTCAGATGCGAAGGTAAATTTTATCATCTTTCTTACTAGTCTGTATGTGCACCCTGGAGGGATAATGATCCCCTGGTGTTTGCAGCCTTTCAGGAAAAAGGACAATAGTTCTGTCTGTCAAAAGTCCCAGTCTCATAACCCATAGCGAAAGTATACAGCGCTTGACCTTGTGGGAGGCCTTTTGCCATTGTATCGGCAGAGGCATTTGTTGTTGAGAGCTGAAGGACTATTGGACTTCAGTTCTAACCCTCAGCTTCTCAGTTACGGCCATGATTTTACATAGCTCTGGAAGGTATTGTCTGCACAGAAGAGTTTGCTTAGGAGGAAGTGCCAGTCCGATAATCACCGAGCACTGAACTCAGTTTGTTTTTTAATTTTTTGTGAAATGAATGATGGGGATTATTTTTATTAGTTCAGTTCTTGTTGTAACAGGTGTTTTTCTAATAATAATAAAAGGCTTTGATTTACAGATGACTAAAAGTAAAAAATTAATGGGAAAGAAAGAGACCTAAAAAAAGAGTTGAAAGATGGACAGAAGTCCTGACAGGAAATTATGTAGCTTTGGGGCAGAAAGGAGCCTCTTGTTCAAAAATAATTAGTTAGGATCCAGTTGAAATCAATTGACTTTCATCTGGCGTGCTTCAGATCAGCAGTGAAGGTTTTAGGCCCAGACTTACAGGTATTTAAGGTCATATCAAATGTGACATTCTGTAGCCCTTGTGCAGAGCTCACACCAGGGTTGGCCCTGGGTTGGTGCTTCAGCAGCTGCTCTGGAGGAGCAAGGCCTCCTTGGTCCATGAGAACTCAACTGGCAGTGAGTACCGTGGGACGATGGGCTTCGTCTGCCCCGTGGGAGCTCCCGAAGGCTGTGACAGTAACGTGGTCACGCTGCCATGTGAGACGTGCGTGACCGGCACCAGTGACTTACTGCAGCGGGACATGAAGAAACACTGGGTGATGAATCCTGCAAAAGTGCTGAGCAGGGGGAACACAAACTCACAGGAACAGACACGGTTTTCCATCCCATTTGATTTTTTTTTTTAGAGGACAATACATTGCAGTTATTTAGGGCTATAGGATTTTGTTCCTCTCGTACATTAGATCTGGTGTCCTTTTTCCAGAAAAGATAGTAATATGCCTTCAGCTTCTGCTGATGGCACAAGGGACCACAGTGTGGTATAAATGCCATAGTCTTGTGATGTCCCTTGTGGTAGAAAAGACATGACTCAATTACCACAGATATGAAAGATTTTCTGGTACCTGCAGCTACTGAAATGCAAACTGACCTTGCAGCTTTCTCTGGTTTTATATCTAATAATTATTATTATACCCTGTCCCCTTAGAGCCGCTGCACAAGGTCAGGCTACTGACTCCTATAGATACAGTAGCAGGCTGCTACATCTTCAGTTTAAGCTGAAAATGCAATTTCTTAACAGCTAGTGGTGGTGTTTCATCTGGTTCTGATTATTTTTAACACATGAGAAACAATAAGCATGGCAGGACAATACTGCCTGGCAGGGAGGCGTATGACCAGTCATGCCACAGCTTCCATGATGCTCTCCACCTGAATTGTGTCATTTTCCTTGTCCCCAGCACCGTGTGGGGGCCACTTGACGTCGCCCAGCGGAACCATCCTGTCCCCTGGCTGGCCTGGCTTCTACAAGGACTCCCTGAGCTGCGCGTGGGTCATAGAGGCCCAGCCGGGCTACCCCATCAAGATCACGTTTGACAGGTGCTCACCCTGGACTTCTCAAAAGTTTCCTCTTCGCGGTTGTTTTTCAGTGGTTCCAACAGTGTTGAGTTGTAGCCACCCCTGGAGGAAAAGGGAACGAACTGCTCAGCGCTGTGTTTGGCAGTGAGGTTCTCTCTTTCTCTCCTTTTTTTAATTAACTCCTGACAAGACATTTAAATTCACCTAACGTTCAAGAAGAAAAAGTGGAAACTGGTGATTTTTCCCTTCTTGTTTTGACTAACTCCTGCTAATTTGTAGTGCTATTTTAGACACACATAGGACACGTTTTTGGAGGCTGAGCTCCCATGTGCTCAGCCTGCCAGGGAGAAGCAGCAGTGAGGATCTTGCCCTGACTCAGGCGTGCCGAATCTCTGACTTGCCCTGGATTTCGCTGTTTGAGGAGAGCTATGCTTTCTTGAACCTGGGTCTGTATGTCTGAGAAGTGATTGTTCATGTAGTGCAAGATGCTTGTTGCTGCAAAGACAGTTCGGTGTCAGCAGATGAAGCAGGTGAAGGATCAGAAAGAAACCAAAATGCGTAGGAGGGGAACGACGTGTTCTCAGTACGATGCTCAGCCAGCCGAAGGTCAGGCAGTAGAAACGGACCCACGTATTGCCCCGTGGCCTGTGCTGCTTTCTAGTCATTAGAGCACATTCAGGACTGCAATAAAGAAAAAGTAGCCATGCTGGTTTTTCACAGACGTATTCTTGTCTCCCTTTCAGATTTAAGACAGAGGTGAATTATGACACCCTGGAAGTGCGAGATGGCCGGTCCTATTCTTCCCCGTTGATAGGTGTCTATGATGGGACTCAGGTGCCCCAGTTCCTCATCAGCACCAGCAACTACCTCTACCTCCTCTTCACCACTGACAAAAGCCACTCTGACATAGGCTTTCAGATCCGATATGAAAGTAAGTGCAAGTTATTCATGTAATTACACCTCTCCAGCGACACAATGGACTCAATCAGAGGCCCATTGCACTCGCTTCTCCCCTTCGCCAGGCAGTTAGCACTATTACAGTGATTGGAGAATGTGACGTTGCTGCAAGTGAAGTAGCGGTTTCTGCTTTTTTGACCATCTTGGTTGTTGAGGCTTTTTTATTTTAGCATCTACAGAATATTATTGATTTTAGGAGGCAGAGTTGAGTCCTCTGTCCGTTCATTCTCTTACTTTGGGGGTAATCAGTCGGACTTTGAATCAGCTCATAGGAGGAGTTGAACTTTCCCCCAGGCTAATCACTGCCCCTTGCAGCAGGCTCTGCAGCCACTGAGTGGTCTGACGTGAGTGGGTTTGTTTGCCACAGCTGTGAAGCTCCAGTCAGACCACTGCTTGGATCCGGGGATCCCGGTAAATGGCCAGCGCCATGGGAATGATTTCTACGTGGGAGCACTGGTGACGTTCAGCTGCGATTCAGGCTACACCCTGAGTGACAGTGAAGCCCTGGAGTGCGAGCCGAACTTCCAGTGGAGCCGGCCACTGCCCAGCTGTGAGGGTAAGGAGTGCAGAAGATGACGTCTGCAGAAGATGGCAAACGCTTCGTTGCAGATCTACTGCAAAAGCAAAGCAGTGATTGTGAAGTTTGCAGTCACATTTGATCTGTGTATTTTGTTTGATTTTGATGGGTTGGGCTTTGTTTTGACATTCAGAAGAGCTGATATTCTTCCAGCTGATGATGGGGTTTGACTTCTTTAATTCTTTCTCTTTTTTTTTTTTTTGGCAGCTCT